AAAAAGAGTTAACAATGTGTCTAAGCAATATATGGCTGCTGAACCAGTATTGAAAAGTATTATATCATGTGAAAAAATCATTTGGCAGATTCACCTTCTAGACAAGAAGTAGGCATATTTTTTGAAGTATGAGGGTTTTTTCCTTCCTGTGCCTCTTGTTTTTCATTTCATTCCCTTCATACAGATAGTGAAAAAGAAAACCACATATTAGAACATAGAAAAAAACTACTATTTCCTGGGCTTTAGGTTACCAAAAATGTTGATCCATTAAGGTGATTTTGCTTTATGTCTTTGAAATAAGAAAAAGGATGACTTTTTCTGCCCTAGATAGAAGAGAGGTGGAGCGGAGGTGTCGAGAAGCAAAACATCAGAAGAATCTGAAGGGAGGAACTTTGTACTGAGAGGCCCTGCAGAGCCAGGGCAGGGCTGGCACCTCAGAAAGGCCGCGGGTGAGGGGTGACCCAGTAAAAGGCCCTGTGGGCAGCTCTATGGCTTTCCATGTGCAGGCGGTGCTGAAAGGTGGAGGCTTTCTTCAGCGCATTTAGGGCTCATCTTCCCGGACTCCTAATGCTTCAATCTCTGGTGGCAGCTCAGTGGCCTCGAGAGTTCTCCCACCCACATGCTCGGCACCATGTAAAAGCCTACAATCCTGAAGCCAGAGGAAAGTAAAATGACTACAGACCAAGTTCCTGCCACTTTAGCAAGACAGAGATACATAAGATTTAAACATATTCAATAGGCAAGATTTAATGACTAGGGTAACCTATTGCCATTCCCTCTAATATCTGCAAACATTTTTTTAAAACTCAATTTTAAGAAAACAAAGGAAGAAACCTTTTGGCAAATATTTATATTGTGTTTTTCATGCAGTAAATGACCTTCTTTGGATGTTAAGGGTAAGAAAAAGCCCATTTTCAAAAGAAATGATGGAGAAGTACAATTCTTCCATGAAGAAAGCTCATGTTATTGGAGAGGAACTAGACATGCCACAGCCCGAAGCTTCACCATAACTCTGAGTCTCCAAAATCACTTCTTCCACCTTCTCGCTGTGGTATAAATTGTGAAAACCAGAAGATGTGGATTTAGTGGAGTGGGGGATGAGCGTTGTTTAGACCTTTATGAACACCTGAAAATATTTCTCCAGATTAGAATCCCGGAAGTAGAAGTAATTATTGGGTTAAGGAAGAAGCACACCTAAAGTTTGTAATATTTAAAAGGTAATTAGGTCACTTGAAGAGAGGCACGCACTGTTCACACACTAACTCCCAGCTGAGCTGCTGTGGAGCGTGTCATTGCCAAGTGAGGCTGCTGTGTATTCTGCCTCTTCCACACGCAGCCACTTGGCCTTCCACCATAAACTGAGGTAGCACCAGTCCTTTCCTAGAACGAAGAAGATGCTGGGGCCATGTTTTTGTGCTTTCCACCCTCTAGAATAGTAAAATAAACCAAAATAAACCTTCATGTTTTATTCTTTTTTTTTTTAACCCAAAATAAGACTGCCAAACTGCTCTCCAGGAAGGCTATTCCAATTTATAGTCTCATCAGTGTTGCTAAGAGCCACATCTCTTTTCTCACTTTAACATTATCCTTCTATTCCCTTTGCCTGATGGCTCAGAGTTTTGCTTTTCCTTCACCTTGAGTCATAGGTATGGATGTTGAATGGTGTGTGTAAGTGGGTGAGAGGAGAATTTTTTCTTTTAGTATATGTCTGCAGTATATAATGTTCACATTCCTTGTGGGATGTTGCTAGAATTTTATACAATCGTCTATTCCTTTCTTTGCATTATTTGTAGTCTTTCTTATCATCTGTTAAAATTTATAATATTATTATCCATCAGTGCCACATTATAAAACTCCTTGGTACAGCGAGGGTCATTATGTCCCCTAATTAAATGCACACTCTTACATATCCTGGCTTTCTTCGGGATAGCCTGCCCCACTTTCTCCAGGGTGTACTCTTATCTGGCTTTTCCTTCTTTTATGTGGCCCAAGCTCACCCTACAGAACCAGATTCTCCCTCATTTTTCACTTTTACTTTTTCAAATATAAGTAAACAAATAAATAAATACATACATACACACTTGTATTTTTATCTCTATCTGAGCATTATGGAGATTCCTCAGAAGCATTATGGAGTGCATGGTTACCTACATACTGCTTAGCAGACTTTCTCTTCCATGTCAAGTCACATTTTTCAGGTTCGATCCTAGAGCTCCAGTTAGGCTGAACTCATTGGTGGCTGATGGGCAGCAGACTGTGCCCAGTCATTGGAATCATTGATGATATGAATAAGCCTATTAGGTTCTATCTGCTTCCAAAGATGAAAGTTCAAGTGGGATTTTACTCAACTGACTTTTTTTTGTTTTGTTTTGTTTTGTTGTTTTGTTTTTTTTTTTTTGGTACCGGGGATCAAACTCAGGTCCTTGCGCTTGTGCAGCAGGCAGCGAAACCACTGAGCTAAATCCCCGGCCCTCAACTGACTTTTAATTTAAAACATTCAATTGCCCATGTAATAGTCATAGATCCAGCCCCCTCAATTAGGCTGTCTCCTTCCACAAAAGAGTCATCCATAACCAGTGCTTATCAAACCATCCTCCTGGCTGGATGGCCTAAGCTGGGTGGCCTAATCCCCAGAGTAGATCTAATGAAGGACAATAGTGGGTCCACTGAGATTTCAAGCTTTGTGCTGCTTCCATTCTCATGTGTAGCTGAGATTCAACATGACCTAAAGAAAGGTAGCCTCTTTGAAACTTAGCCAAGTAATTTTGGCCAGATGGAAGAACCAGGGGAAAGCCTATCATGTCAGTGTATAGGCTGTGCCTGGTTAATGCTCACTACTCCTGCCACACAGATCCTGTTTTCCTCTGGCCTTGCTGGGCCTCATGGATGTTTCAGTGTCCAACACAGATGCAGAACATTATATCAAACCACCAGCTGACAGATCCTTGCTGTTCCTGCACTTCAAATAGTTAACTGAGTACAGTGTGAGTATCCATTTATCAGTCCTTTCTCAGTGAGTCATTTTTCCTCTAGTTTTAAAATAGTCTCTATTCATCTGGTTGTCAAATAATCCTCCCTGACTATGGGCAAATGGGTTATTTATTGCGAGGCTAACTTTCTCTTTGCACAGGAAATCACTGGGAAGGTAGGTTGGAGGCCTAGCTGCGTCATCCTTGGGATCATTAGAGGCAGCGTAATATTTTGTGGTTGTCAGCTTTTAGGCTTCGGTCATGGTAGAGAGGCCATCCTTTGGCGAGAGAATAATGATCACAGAAAGTCGGCCGACAGGGTCTTGATCTGTGCTTTTATTATGTTCAATTTATCAGTCTCTCGAAAGAGCTGGCCATGGGACTCTGAAAACATTTGAAATCTTTGGATGAAAGCTCAGAGACAGCTCTTCCTACTTCCATTAATTTCATAATCAATGATGTCAATTTGTCATGATTAATAATGTTTCCACAGCTACTTTCCTCAGGCTTTCCTGAACCTAAAACCTTCAGATAAACCCTCCTCTTCCTCCTCTCCTTTTTTCTGATCTTAATTTTCTTCACTGTGCTGACTATACTCAAATTTACTCCACTTTTTTCCCCTGGTTATCAAAACTCTTTTATGTTCTTAGAAGACATCAGGATATACCTTGCAATACCCAGTCTAAGAATAAATTTTTGAAAGCTTGCAACCTAAGTTATGAATGTCTGTTTGTCCCTTTTTACATTTTACCCATATGGTTCAGCTTTAGCTTTTTGAGTTTTTCTCATGAAAACAACATGTAAGCTTATTTTTCAATTTACTGTGAAATTCTTTTATGAGAGCCAATGCCTCTGCAGTCCTGTTTATATGATCTTCTTATACCTTGTTAAACCATAAATGTAATGTAAATATTTGGGGGTAATTTATATCATAATGAAAATAGCATGATTTATTAAAACTTTGTATCCTAAATATGGCTAAATGTGTGTTAGTATGTGATAGTGGTTTCATTATAGTTGGGCATCCACATGCCTGAGCTGAAATAGACCCTCTGCTTTGTAACTTTGGGCACTCTGCTCTACTGGGCTTTGATTTCCTCATGCATAGAGGGTACTAATAATACTAATTTTCTAGAATTATTTTTATGAATTAAGTGATAGAATGTTTATAGATTCTTTAGCACAGAACTCTAAAAATGCTATCTACAATGATGTTAGGTAATTGTATATAATGACTATATATATATAATTATAATGATACCTCTGTAAAAACATTCATCTGTCAACATGAATCTTCTAAGTTTCTTTAGGGTCAATTTATCTCCAGGATACAGACACAGAGAGACTTGCTGATGAAAAGATCCAGTAAACCGGACTGAATTACTGACTTGCAAGCAGCCTTATTAGGATAAGGTATGGGTGAGAGCTGAGGAGATATTTAGGAGTAGGGACTAGGAATATCCAATAGTGAGATGAAGAGAGGAAAAGAGCTTAGCTCTCTGTAAGTAGGAGATGGATAAGGGAAAAAGAGACATAGAAGGTTATTTGGAATCAAGAACTAAGGGAAAAGGAAGCCGTCCTGGTGGTACATTTCTGTAATTACAGCATAACGGGATGCTGAGGCAGAAGGATTTCAAGTTCAAACCCAGCCTGGGCAATTTAAGGAGACCCTCTCTCTCTCAAAAAAAAAGTTGGGATTTGGCTCAGTATAAAGGCCCCGGGTTCAAGTCCCCATACTGCAAAATAAAATGTAGAGGGAATCCAGTTTCTAAGCAGAGGTATAGAAAAGCAAGGAAAGACGTTCTGTGGAATGGTAAGAAATGAACTGGATTTGGGCTGGACCCAAGGGCAGCCTCAGGGCTGTTCTTGTCCATACAAGATTTGCTTGGAACAGGATCAAAGAATTTATTCCCTCAAAACATTTCTGATTCCACAGGTGTGAGATTTGAAGCTATTACCAAAAACTTTGTAGAAGAGCCCTTAACTCCATGCCACTGTGCACATAGCACTTCATTCCAAAATTCTCCTCGCTGTCTTTCTCCCAAACATCGGCTTTGGCCTCCTCTTTGCACTCACGGCCTTTAAAGGTTTCCTATCTCGGATCAGGGATTTAGCTCAGTGGTTTCGCTGCCTGCTGCGGAAGCACAAGGACCCGAGTTTGATCCCTGGTACCAAAAAAGAAAAAAAAAGTTTCCTGTTACTACTGACACTTTTTCATTCTCTTTTTTCCCTTATGTAAAGCAGCTTAATCTCACAGGCTATGCTAATTTTGTAATCCTGCTCCCATCACTTAATACTGGGAATAATCAGAGAATGAAACGTTCTATAGGATTTAACCACTGCCTTCCTCATCAGGTAGAAGAAAACAGCAAATACCTCCTTTGGATCACAAACATTAATGTCTTTCTTCCAAAATTATATTATTCAGTGGTATTTTTTTTTCATTTTAGCAATGGTATTTTTTTCTTGTATGAATTAAGTGGATTTTACATACCATCTGGTAGAGATGTTAATCCTCAAGGGCCTTGATGTTAATCCTCCAGGGCCTCGATGTTAATCCTCAAGGGTCTTGCGGCTGCAGGTCAAGAGTAGTGAGTGGTAAGAAAAAAGAAACTGAACAGTTCAAATGTTAGCAACACCCAGGCTAACTCACCATGTTCTGGTCATGGCTCTAGATTTTATCTAGGATAGCACTTCTTCCAGCATGCCCAGCAATGGCGAGGAGAAACAATGAGTGTATTCACACAAATCCACAACTCTTACTGGGTATATTAGAAACACATGCTTTAGCGAAAGTAGATCAGTAGAATTAGATTTAAATATGAACAAGACATATCACATATAACACATCCTTAAAGCATATGTCAATTTGCTTTTTCCCCCCTGTATGAATAAGAGCACATTTACCAGAATAGTAGCATCCTTTAGTATTATTTCACCAGTATTGTGTTTATTGTATAAGACTCTAAAGTATTACAGGTTCTTTTTATTTAACTATGTTCCACTTTCCTCTATGCTAAACCTAACTCACGTGTCCCACTAATCCAAAGCTAGGCCTCATCTAAAGTGTGTCACCTCAGTGAATGACAGCAAGATCTCTCCAGTTGTGAAAGCCACAAGCCATCCAATGGTGGCTCCATAGTGGCCTCCTGGTCATCACTAATGTCAGTCATTGCTCTGCAAGTAACACACCCATGGAAGGATATCCGCAAAGTACTGATGGTTGTCTGGTTGGGCAAGAATGTTTTCAACATGAGCTACTTCTATCCACATTGCTAACTTTTTTAAACAAAAGAAACCCTGGTACTACCCCTGCATACATACATATATATTATAATATTAATTATATAATATTAAATATATAAATATATAATTAAATTGGCTTTTGATGAGATCTAATCATCTCCTGCCTACAGCCAAACTTGCTTCGGGAATAACATCTCTGTTCACCACTGTATCCTCTGTAGCTAGCAGAGAGCATGCTGCAATGCAGGTGTGTAATAAATAAAATATTTCAATTGAGTAAGTAAAAAAGATATATTTCGCATCAACATTTCCCATCAAATACCCTTGTAATATCACCTCAGGAACATAGGATTATTTTATTTCTTTGTACTTGCTGGTTTTCTCTGTCATTATTCATGTTGTTCTTTTGCTGCTAGTGCTCATCTTTCTTCTCTTAACAACCAATGTATCTCTCTGTATAATAAACATATTTACAGTTGCTTGGCTAAAAAGTTTCTGTTCATCTTTGGGTCCAATTTTTTTATAGCCCACATGAACTATGAATAATTCATACCAGCTCTCTCTTCAAACATCTCCAGATTTCAAGTCTGACTGTATCTTATTTCCCCTCTCCTAATTCCTGTCCCCATCCAGCCTGCCTTCCTAGTGGTATTATTATAATAACCTCTAGTTGGCCTCCTTAGTTCAACTTTGCCCTGCCTCTATCCAATCTTAACCACAGAAATCCTTTTAAAACTTGAGTTACAAAAATACTATGCTCAAAACTTTCAAATAACTTATCAACTCTTTCAGAATAAATCTGGATTTCTTAGTGGAAGAGCAGCATACAATATGACCCCGATCATTCTTGTCTCCTGGTGTGTTTGCACTTGTGTTTCTCCCTCCCGCATTGAACATGGCTGACCTACGTGAGTGACAGGGAGTTGTGAAAAAGACACTGTGCTGTGTAACTTCAGAAATCGAGTTACAAAATACATAATGGCTCTTGCTTGATGCTTTCTTAGCTCACTCTTTCTCTCTGGGAAAGTCAGTCCTGTCCCCAGGCTGTGAGAAAACTCAAGCACGCTGTTGGAGAGGTCCATGTGGTAGGGAAGCCAGAGCCCTTTGATGACACATTGCCAGCTGTGTAAATGAGATCACCTGGACCAAGCCATCCATTGACTATAGCTTCAGCTGACATTTGTCCACAACATCCTGAGAATCTGCAATGGAGTGCCTATTAAATGGCCCCCAGAGTTCTAACACATACAATTTTTGTGAGTTAAGAATATTCATTGGGTTAAGCGGCTAGTTTAGGATCATTTGTTAGGCAGCAGTAGATAACCGATACACTTATCACCAAAGAGGCAGCCTCAATGTGATCCTGCAGTGCTTCACTGGCTTCATCTGTTGCTATGTCCTCATTTGCTCAACATTTGATCTTTAGCCAGGGACAGTTTGCCACAGGGCTGTGGCCGATGCCAGCACATAGTGACACTTCCACTGCTCTTCTTGACATCCACTGCCCTTTCCCTCCTTTTATGCTTTGTTTTCCTCCATGTCATTTATTGGCATTTGACATAAGTGTGTTTTAGTATTTTGTTTTTGTTATTCTTGATTTCTCCCTCCAGGATGACATGCTCTGTGGAGGCAGAGAGCTGTTGTTTTTGACTGCTTTCTCTTTAGCACTTGAAATGGTGACTGGCAAATTCTGAGTGTTCAGTAAATCCTTATTAAGTAAATTAAAGTTGTAGTTGTATGGGTTTTTATATTTGCTTATTTTTCTAATTTGCACACTAAATAGTAAGTTCTTTGAATTCAAGCACTCTATCTTATTGGTGCCTATATTTCTGTCACTTATGCAGTGACATATGAAATCATGGTCCTTTTGTTAAAGTAATGAAAGGAGTCTGAGTTAATTTGGGAATTTATGCCACAGAGAATATTTTAAGAAGTATGAATTTAAAAATGTTTGAATTTAAAAATATTTTGAATCAATGATCTTAAGAAATTAGCCAAGGGCTGGGGATTTAGCTCAGTGGTTTCGTCTCCTGCTGTGCAAGCACAAGGACCTGAGTTTGATCCCCGGTACCAAAAAAAAAAAAAAAAAAGAAAAAGAAATTAGTTAAACTTAAATGTGAAATAGCACAAAAGTTTAAGCTTAAAAGTGGCCATAATAATTTATTTGGTAGTTTTAAAACCAATTACATTTGAACTCAATAATACATTAAACATAAACATTAATTTCACTGTATTTTAATAGTCCTTGAGTTTTTCCTTATGTGAGCAAGTTGTATTTAATAGTTTGAAAATGAAATTCCTTTTTAAATTGGCAAACTAGAAGTCTTTACAAATATAAATTGATAAATGTTTTCAAAACTCAGAGAATATTTTGCAATTATATGATCATTCTTACCATACTTGTGGTTTTATTTTTTTATTTTTATTTTTTTTTCCTACCGGGGATTGAAAACGGGACCTTGCACTTGCGAGGCAGGTGGCAGAACCACTGAGCTAAATCCCTGCCATACTTGAGGTTTTAAACTTGCATAATATTATAGACAAAAAGTACACAAGTTCATTTTTTTGTATGATTTTCTCGTCATTGCTAATATAAATTTCACGTGACAGAAAATAAATCAGTGAGAAATTGGATCTACTAATTTTCTTGTCATTTTCTAAAGAAAACTTTAAAAAGATGAAAGCTCTATTGTTTCTTAAAGAAAACTACAGTGAATTGAAGAAGTCCTGGCAAATTGAGTTCCACTGACTTATCAAAAGTCAAATTTGTAGCAAGGAGCCGAAACAGGGCTACGACTCAGCTGTCTGAAGTCCTGGTTAACTATTGTGCTTGCTGCCTTATTCTGCTTCCTGAAGTGTTAGGGGATGTTGTTTAACAGGGAGGGGTGCATAGTGTTGTGTGAAACAACCCATTACTAAGAAAATAATTGGGGAAGGAAGGCAAGAATGTAGGAGGAGGAAAATTATGCATTTGCTTGAGCTAAATTCTGAAACATCAAAATGCAGAATAAGTTGCTCATTGTCATTAACATGCAGAAAATGACTTGAGACTAAAAGTAGGAGGTGGAGACAGGTTGGTGGGATAGGTCATCTTACTTAGCTGAAAAGATGTGAAGCTCCATGTCCCATGGGCAAGACACATTCGGGATCCTATAACATTTCATATTATTATTATAAAAGTTGCAATGTTCATCTCTTATGAGAATTCATAAAAAATTAACACAGGAAGTTGTAGATATCACAATACTATGGATAAGGAAGCAGAATAACATGCTTTTTAAGTTCATTCATTTCCGGCTTTTGGAATCTGTTCTGATTCAGATCCAGCTACTCAGGATCCTTGGTAGTGTTACTTAGCGTCTTGTCTTATCCTCTTGTCAGCCCCCAAAGTAGGCTTGAGACAAAGGCTTATGTGCTGGAGGTCTCCTGGGGAGCATGCTTGGGAGAAGAGGGATGAGACACAAAGGCAGTGTGAGTCAAGTCAAATATGTGTCATCCAGTGGTCCACAGGATAATGCTTCATCCCACAGGGCCCTCACGAGAACCTGCTGAATTGGACGTCGGAACCATTCTTCAGGGGCCTGGCAGAGGGCAGCATGCAGCCAGCAGCTCTCTTCTCCAGTGGTCAGAATGACCATATGGATACTAATTCCGCATGCATGTGGATTGCCCTAACACAAATACCAGTTGGTTCCCGTGACTCCTGAGGAGCTCAGAGGTTAGAAGCATGGGAGATGCTCCATGAAGCTGGTCAAAGCTTCTCTGGGGCTGGTCACTGCAGGGGTGGCAGGAGCAAGTTAGGAGGCATCTCTTAATGCCAATGTCCTCCTATGGAAAATCGGCACAAACCTTCTATATTCAGCTGCTGGAGGGGGTGACTGCTTGGCAGATTGCAAATACTCCATATTGTTAACCTTGTTTATGTAACCATGACATTAAGAAGGTTAGAGATAATCATCATTATTTGCATTAGAAAAGTTCTAGCCCTTTGAGTAGCCTTATCTGAATTGCTTGAAACCAAAAGTGTTTTCACATTTCAAATTTTTCCAGATTGGGGCATATTTGCATATATATATATATATATATATATATATATATATATATATAGTGAAGTATATATATTGGGGATAGGACTCAAGTCTAAACACAAAATGCATTTATGTTTCACATACATTTTATATGTGTGGCTGAAGGTAATTTCATGCCCCTGCATTTTAACCCTAAGATCCGTCTCAGGAGACAGGAGTAGAATCTTCTGAGCATAGCACCTTGTCAGTGTTCAGTTTTCTACACTGGAAATGCTCATCCTGCATCTCTACCTGATCCTGT